TTTTATATGAATTTATGGCACTAATGAAACTTTTATTTGTGACTCTTCATCCATCCCAACTTGCTGAAGGTGGGTTTTTCAGTGAATTGCTGAATTTTTGTCTTTAGATTTTTTTTTCCCCTGGAGGAAATAAGAAACAATTCATATGCTAGATCTAAAGTTTCATTAAAATTGCTTATGCCCTGTTTCAGGCATTTTAAGTGGGCCATCTGTCTAAACATCTCTCCCTTTTTTTTTCTGATCATTTCCTCGACTTATTCATGAACCATGGGAGGGCTCCTTTGTAGTCTCCATGTAGCTGGTTCTGTCTACCCCCACTGAATACATCTATGTGCTTGCATAACATATCTTTTCACCGTGCTGGAAATTCTCTGAACTTGGTTCAGATGAATGGCCCACTTTTCTGAAGGCCTTTTTCTTCCTGCAAAGATTTGTATGCAGAAGCTGACCTCTGTGGCTATGGAATGCAGCATATTATTCTTGATCATTTTACAGACCACCCACTGTGAAAGTTATGATGAAGGATTGCTTAATGATTCTTTGACCACTAACATTGTTTTAACTCAGTATTTTACTCCTAAATAGGTGATGGCGCAATTGAAAACCAGCTTTTCTGAGTGTCTGATAATGTGGTTTTGAGATGCTTATAATCCTTGATAGCTAAAGATGCTGTTATGTTTACACAAAATCTGCTTTAAAAAGACATGCAATAGCAATGTATTTGAGTATTGCTTCCACTTTTTTGAGTAAAATATTCCAATAAGTATATTAGCATTAACATTTGTGATAATCAGCTGGCGGTTTTTACCATAAAATATGGAAAATTTTAGTTTTGTTGAACATACTCATTCTGGCTGGCTGATGATAATCAAAGTAGACAGGTCTGGGTAAAAGCTATTATTTGATTTGCTTTGCAAGTAGCTGTTTATGTGAATTCTTTTTTACTGGGGTTTTTGGGTTTTGTTTGTGTTTTGAAGTAGTAGCTTAAATGATATCAGCTTTGCAGATAACTAATCAGTTGTAGAGATGAAATTTTTGATTAGATGGCAGCCTCTTTCACTAGACACTTCAGTAAAGGAAGCTATTTTCTGGGTATCATTACTGTGGTGAAGTGAGTGAAGATCTGAGACTTTTTCCCCCTCTTTTCAGAGAGTTGTTCATAAAAATCTCCTTAGAGACTATTTTGAATTTAATGGATAAATGTAATTCTCTTCTAGAATTACAATTTAGGTGATTGTTACCATTATAAACGTGTGTGTGCTAGTGGAATTGATATCACTGTTTTGAAGTAATTATTATTCATGTAATTTCAATGATTTTCCAGAAATAGAGCATATGTACTTTCAGGTCGCTATGTATTATTATCTTTATATTTTATTTCTGCTGCAGAACTTATTGATATTTATATTTAGCACATATGCCCAACCCCATTCACTTTATTTAAAAACAAAACAGAACTACTGTCCAAGTTATGTAAAAGCCAGAAGGAATCCTAGCAAATTTTGATTGTAAAAGAGTGAACTCACGAAGAGATTCCACTGTTTCACCATCTTTTTGTAGTATCTCAAGGTCTTGCTTTCACAGTGAAGGCTCTTTCCTATATCTGTTAACGTATCACCTTAAAAGAAATTGTTATAGATGTGCCACTTCAGGAGTTGTGTGCTCAGAAGAAGCAACAGCTCTCCCTTGTCACCTCCCCACCTCTGCTCTGATCCGTATTTTACAGGTGTGGAAACTTTGGTTCAAAACGATTGAATGAGTTCCCTGGGACGTTGCTAGTAAGAGAAGGGGCTGAGATGAGACCTCAGCTTTCAACTCAAAAGAGCCTGTGTTCTTTGTACAAGGTCCCTCTTGGGGCAGGTTATAGCATATATGAAACAGATGTGGATCAAAATAAAACAATGGAAAAATAAATAGTTAGGTTCTGAAGAATGGCACCTCTATGTCGCCACCATCTATAAGATTGCTTTTGGTGGGAAAAGGCATTCTGGGCTCAAACAGGATGTCAGGATCAACAATTTCCCAGCTCCTCTGGAAACAGACTTGTCGCATAACTAAAAAGGGTCTCACATTTACTTGAAAGAGTGACCTCCACTGGGTCACTAAATTGTGAAAAATATTAAGCATGTAAAATAGGTTAAGTAGAAGAGAGATCACTGAAGTTTGTGTTGTGATTAGGGAACAGTTTAAGAGAGAATATTTTTCTTGAAAAATCTTAGTTTGAGAAGCAGAGAGGAGAAGGAATAAAGGGATTTCAGTGATGGGGGGAAAGGAGTATAGGCCTAGAGTTGGGGCTGATCATAATAATACAAGTTAACATTGACATGTATCATTTAATCCTCAATATATCACTGTGATGCAGATACAGTTATTATCTTTTTTACATAAGGGAACTGAGAACAAAAAAGCCATTCGCTCAAGGTCAGAACTAGTTAATGGCAAAGCTGGGTTTTGTACCAGTTTCTGCAAGTCACTAGAGCCTGAGTTTGTAACCAACGTGCTTAGTTCTCCTGCTTGGCTTGGCTTGGTTTGTAAAGCAGTTTAAGGGCTTGGCCCTAGCAGATGTACAAGTCAGAGAATATTCAGAAATGAAATTGAATACAAAGAGTAGGGCCTTATTTTTAAGAAACTTAAGTAGTAGGTAGTTTAATTAAGATTTAACCTGGTAAGAAGTAGAAAACCATGGAACAGTTCTTGAGCAGGAGGGTAACGTAGTTACCGAGGATAGCAAAGATTTAAGGAAGCCATGTTGCACAGTAAACTAGCCATGGGGTTATTTCTGTCATACAATACCCCTGAGAGGTCAGGTGTTGCCCCCATTGGAAGGTGAACAAAGTGCAGTCCAGTGAGGTCATCTACGTCGTTCAAGAACCGCTGGGTAGTAATCCCGGAGCCTGAGGTTCACCCTCCTTCAGGAGCTCCTGCTGTGCTCCTTGGGTGACACGGCCCCTCCTGTGCAGTGCTTGGTGCATAGGAGATGCCTCTCAAATTCTTTCCTACTCGCCCACACTCAACCCTTTCTCCCCAACCTGTGCAGGGGGCTGGAGATATAAAAATAAGGCATGATCTTGGTCTTTTAGGAGCTCACAGGCCAATGGGAGAGACAAGCAGAAACAAGCAAATGCCCTGTAAAATGGAGCGCCCAAACGGAGGTCGAGGTGGGACGCCACAGCCCTCCTCCCTTTCCTCTCTCTGCCCCATGCCTTCGTCTCTCTCTCCCCTCTCCGCTCCGCCTTCTCTCCCTCCTGTGTGCTCCCATGTTGTTCTCTCAAGCTCTCATGGGTGAAGCTTTGTCCTCTGAAACAGCCCTCTTCAAATTGCCAAGAAAGGATCTTCCAGGCGTACAGTGGGCATTATTGTTGATTTGTTGATGCATTTTTTTACTTGAATTTTTATTTCTATAACATTTAAAATATTTGTCTTCAGAAAATAAATCAGTAAATAGTGGGCCAAATACAAATATTCACCTAAGTTATTAACATCCTTCATTAGACATTGTCTAGAGGTGATTTGATTATAATGATAGTTTTTGTGACTACGACTTTTTTAAAATTGAGTATGCAGAGAATTCTTTCGAAATTCAGGGGTAAATTCAAACATAACCCACAACATTTTTTCAGAACTAGGACTTAAGCCAGAGTCTGGATGCTACTTGTTTGGCGCTTAGTAGATATTATGTCACAACTATAAATAATGTAAACATGCAAGACTTAAATTAGGTTAATTCAAAAATCAATAGAATTTTGTTACTTTAAAAAATTGTGAGAAAGATTTGTATTCTAAAAATGTTTTTGTCTCTGGCTGCTTGACCCAATTTTTCTACATATAATATTGATCATACACAAGAAAAGACCTGTGCATTAAGACTAGTATCATTGATGTTGTACTCTTACCAAAACAAACAAACAAACTAAAAATCAAAACAAAAACAAAGGGACACAAGAAGACTTTGGGAGGTGACGGGTATGTTATTACCTTGCTTGTGGTGATGGTGACACAAGGGAGTAAACACCAAACTCACCGAATTGTGTGTGTTAATTATTTCAGTTTTGTTTTTTTTTTGAGGAAGATTAGCCCTGAACTAACATCTGCCGCCAATCCTCCTCTTTTTTTGCTGAGGAAGATGGGCCCTGAACTAACATCAGTGCCCATCTTCCTCTACTTTATATGTAGGGTGCCTGCCACAGGATGGCTTTATAAGCCATGCATAGGTCTACACCTGGCATCTGAACAGGTAAACCCTGGGCTACCAAAGCGGAACATGTGAACTTAACCGCTGCGCCACTGCCTGGCCCCAATTATGTGCAGTTCTTTTGTTTTTTTTGTTTATTTTTGAGGAAGATTAGCCCTGAGGTAACATCCGCTGCCAATCCTCTTTTTGCTGAGGAAGACTGGCCCTGAGCTAACATCCATGCCCATCTTCCTCCACTTTATATGTAGGACACCTACCACAGCATGGCTTGTGAAGCTGGGCAGTGTCCACACCTGGGATCCGAACTGGCGAACCCTGGGCTGCCAAAGCGGAATGTGCAAACTTAACCACTGTGCCACCAGGCCAGCCCCTATGTGCAGTTTTTTGTGTATGAATTATAGCACAAGAAACCTGCATAAAAGAAAAGATTTGCATTGTAATTTTTTAAAAATAGTCTTGAACAGTAACCAAATATTGAAAAGAAATTAATCTTGCTTAAGGAAGATTAATTTTTGAAGGACTGTCACAATTAAGCAACTCAAATTCACAGACTACATGAGGGTACCACACTTATACCCAGTGACTGCTGTGTCTTGGGAGTGTCTCTGTGTTTTTTGTTTGTTTGTTTTTAACCCCTCTAGTTTAAATCCAAGAGCTTTTTTCCAATAATAGAACCTTTTGAAATAAAATGTTCTAAAATACAGCTTTTGGCAGTTTTACCCTGCACACTTAATGTGAGAGGAAAATCAGTTTACTGAGAGAGACTAATATAAAATTAGTAACTGTTTTTCTTTTCTTTCTACTTCAGAGTACCTATTATTAAACCGCAAGTGGCCACCTGGGAGCTCTCAATAAAATTGCACGATGAAGTTCATGCTGTTGTAGCATCAAACAGCGGGCCCACCTTCTCTGTGAGTTTTTCTTTATTTTTTTGTAATCTTGAAATTATCTATGAATATTTAAAGCAATTTTTAACCTATTCAGTGACTCTCACTTTTTGAATCTATAATGCAGCCGTGTCTCTGTTTCGTCTCCTTTAGGAAGCTGAATGTAAATGGGCATTTTTATTCTCTTATGTTAATTAGGAAATGCGTTCCTGGATTTAGCCACAGTGTCAACCCACTTCCTGATACCTCGTTCATTTTTCTGTTGTTGAGAAAGTAATACTTTTGCCTTTGTTAGAGAGAAGAGCATCTTTAATTCAAATTCCAAACATATGATAGCTGTGGTAGGTGAGCACGCTTTGAAACAAGTAATCTGAAGCCTCATAGAACATGTTTTTGAGATTTCATGTTGTGAGACATGCTTGAGCTTATTTACCTTATGGTGACATTCCTTTTGTTTTCAAGAATTTAGGCCCTTGCATAGTATCCATGACAGAACTGCTTTAGTTTAATTCTGATCTATACTGAACAATGTTACAATAAGATAGAATGTTTGTACTGTGGTCTGAATGATATGTTTAAATTCTGTGATTGGAGATTGCCAGAAAAATACCATAAAGAGTTACTATTTTCACTTGTGTCTTTTTTCACTTTCAACATGAACCCACAGCAGCTGCTGTATAGTTAGGATCATGAATACTGTCTTAATCTACGTCTCTTTTCTTGTGGCTAAGTTGCATTGAAATGTCATTTTGTTTTAGGGAAAAAGTGACTTCTTATCAAATGATTTAAAGAGGATATGAAAATCCAAATAATATAATGTCACTGAAATAAGACCTGGTGAGACTTGAGGTGTATGGCAGTTTCTTAATCCCAGCTAGAAATACTGCAAGTCAAGAATTAGTGAGAATTCATTTATTCAGCAAATATTTATTACATGCCTACTGTGTGCTAAATAAGTGCTAGGCTGTTACACTGGAGAAGCTGACATTCTTATGTGGTAGTCAGAGTCCCAAGTAAATAAGATTAATTCAAGAATTAAGGATAGTCTCCTTGGTTGTCTTTAAATTTTGTGATTTGTTCTATATGCCAAAATTGTTAAAGCATTTGTTACTAAAAGATATTTCACTCAACTCTCTTAAAGTGAAAGCTATGATGAAGTTAAACAATTGTCTTATGATATATTTTTACGATTAATTTATGTGATTCTTTATATTCCTCTTTTCCATTTGATCATTTAAAAAAATAGCTTTGTAGGGGCTGGCCCTGTGGCCTAGTGGTTAAGTTCGTTGTGCTACACTTTGGTGGCCTGGGTTTGGTTCCTGGGCACGTATCTACAGCACTCATGGGTGGCCATGATGTGGCAGCAACCCACATATAAAATAGGGGAAGATTGCACACATGTTAGCTCAGGGTGAATCTTCCTCAAGCTAAAAGAGGAAGATTGGCAATGGATGTTGGCTCAGGGTGAATCTTCCTCAGCAAAAGAAAAAAAAAAAGCATTGTAAACCGTAGCAAATTGTATATATTAAATACTAAAGAGTATTAATATTATAATGTAGCATTTTCCTGGGGGAAGGTTAACCTTACAAAAATTAGCATAATTTTCAGTTCTGTACTCAGTCACCATTTGAAGTATTACTGTTAATCTGATACTCTAATACAGTGTTTTTCTAAGCATTACCTTAATAAGAAAACTGCCCAGATTATTTCTTAGAGCTGCTGTTTCTTTGTGCTTGTTTTAGATTCCGTGTTGGAAAACTAGACACCATTGGCTTGTCAGTTCAAGTGATGTCTTTTGAATTTTTCCCATAGAATTACCTCCTGTTTCACTTCTTAGCTCCTGAGGAAGTAAGGCTGTTTAAAAAAACACATCAAAATTAATGCCATAAAAATTTCTCTGGAAAATATTTACCTTGATGTATATAGTATCAAAAACTACTTTTCATATTTATTGACTTAGCTATTATGAGAAGCATCAAACCTAATTAGAAGTGAGTACTCCTGACGGTGTATCCCTTTTTCCTAAGCATATTTGGATTGAGCTTCATTTGACATCAGTATTGTGAAAGGAGTCCAGTTAAATAGTGTAGACTAAGTAAAGGCTCATTGGTATGAAGATTTTAATACTGTGGAACCCTGCTTTTAGGATGACTGTTTACTTGGTTTTCTAGATCACTCACTGCCACATCAAGAAAAAATTAATTAGCCTAGAGGTGACAGTCTAGGCTGGTGACCCCAGAGGTGGTACAGGCAAAGTGATATTTGTTTAGCCCATGGTAGTGCTTCATATACCCGATGTTTTCAGAGTTCTTTAATTTTTAAAAACTTTAGATTATAAGATGTTTCAAATGAGGAAAGTGGAGCAAATGTACAATATTCTATACAGATCTCGTATGAAAAAAGAAGACTTTCATAGGTACAGCTAAATCCTTCCTTTGTATCATCCCATTCTGCCCTCTTCTTCCCCAGAGGTGACAGCTATCCTCAAGGTGCTGGGCGTCCTTCTTGTACATGGTGTTAAACTTTTTGTATGTATATATGTACCGTAATAACGCTGAAAAAGTTGTGAAAATGTAAACACATACTTTTTTATGTAAGATTCAAAAGTAGACAAAGCAAAACAATTCCATTTACAATAGCATCAAAAAGGCTAAGATATTTAGGAATAAACTTAACCATGGAGGAGAAAGACTGGTATGCTGGAAACTACACAACATTGCTGAAAGACATTAAAGACGACACAAGTAAATGGAAAACCATCGTGTTCGTAAATTGGAAGACTTGATGTTGTTGTGATGTCAGTACTACCCAAAGTGATCAATAGATTTGATACAGTCCCTGTCAAAATCCCAACTGGATTTTTGCAGAAATAGAAAAATCCATCCTAAAATTCATATGGAATCTCAAAGAACCCCAAATAGCCAAAACAGTTTTGAAAAAGAAGAACAAAGTTGGAGAGCTCACACTTCCTGATTTCAAGACTTATTACAAAACTATAGTAATCAAAATAGTGTGGTACTGACATAAAACAGACACATAGACCAATGGAACAGGAAGCCCAGAAATAAACTCTTGGATATATGGTCAAATGACTTTTGACAGGAGTGCCAAGACCATTCAGTGGGGAAAGGTCAGTCTTTTGAACAACTAGTATTGGGAAAATTGGATAGCAAAAGAATGAAGTTGGACCCTTACCTTACAAATGTGCAAAACTAACTCAAAATGTATCAAAGACCTAAATGTAAGAGCTAAAGCTATAAAACTTAAAAGAAAAAACAAGGGAAAAGCCTCATGACGTTGGATTTGATGATAAATTCTTGGATATGACATCAAAAGCACAGGCAACAGAAGAAAATTAGATAAATTAGACCATATCAAAATTTGAAACTTTGGTGTATTAAAGGATGCAGTCAACAGAGTGAAAAGGCAATCCATGGAACAGGAGAAAATGTCTGCGTGTACCTGACAAGGAGTTATCATCCAGAATATATAAAGAACCCCAACAATTCAAAAACAGAAAAAAAAAAAAATTTAAAAATGGGCAAAGGGCTTGAATAGACATTTCTCCAGAGAATATATACCAATGGCCAGTGAACACATGAAAAAATGCTCAATGTCACCAATTGTTAAGGAAGTGCGGATCACAACCACAACTGGATACCACCTCACAGCCCTTAGGATGGCTACTATCAAAAAACCGCAGAAAATGGTAAGTTGGGTGAGGAGGTAGAGAAATTAGAACCCTTGTGCACTGTTGGTTGGAATGTAAAATGGTGTAACTGTTGTGGAAAACACTATGGTGGTTCCTCAAAAAATTGAAAGTAGAATTACCATATGACCCAGCAATACCACTATTGGTTGTTTATCCAAAAAATTGAAGGCAGGGTCTTGAAGAGATAATTGTACACCTGTATTCAGCAGCATTATTCAGAGTAGCAAAGAGGTGGAAGCAACCCAAGTGTCCGTTGACAGATGAACGGATAAACAAAATGTAGTATATACATACAATGGAATGTATTAGCCTTAAAAAGGAAGAAAATTCTGACACATGCTGCAACATGGATGAACCTTGAGGACATTACGCATAAAAGGGACTACTGTATGATTGCAAATTATGCAGTCCCAGAGTAGTCAGATTCATAGACAGAAAGTAGAATGGTGGGTTACCAGGGGTTCGGAGGAGTGGGGAATGGGGAGTTATTGTTTAAAAGATACAGAGTTTCAGTTTTGCACGATATGAAAAGGGTTCTGGAGATGGATGGTGGTGATGGTAGCACAAAAATGTATGTGTGTAATACCGCTGAACTTAAAAATGATTATGATGGTAAATTTTATGGTATGTAAAAATTTTAAAAATACGCAAACCAATGCAAATTAGTATTTTTAATGAAAAATTTAAAAGTAGGGAGGATGAAAATTTTAAGGAATGAAGAAATCATGATAGAAGTGAAGGTTAAGTGAAGAAGTAAAAGTTAAGATAGAAGAAAAGTTAGTAGAAGTGAAGTATTTTATGTATTTTAGGTCTTTATTCTGATTCTGTATACAAGTATCAGAATGATCAGCAGAATTAAGAAGTATAAAACCTACTACATATGAGGTTGAAATAAACTAATATTGTATATAGCTTATTAAGATGGTAAATTTGAATATCAAAAACAAACTGATTCTTATTTATATTTTCATGATTCCCTTCTGGATTCTCAAGATGGTTTCCATTTCTCTTTTATTCTGTGTGACACAAAACTGGTCAAAATAGTTCTTGGTAGAGGAAAAGATTAATGCATTTGTTGTTTTAAAGATGATGAAGGGCTAAATTCATATTGAGGACAATTCATTCCAAAGAAAAATGTCAGATGCAAAAATCGAGACAGAGATCTTCAAAGAAAAATGTCTTGATGGGAAGAAAATTAGCATAGGAATTCAGCTTTCCCAAAGATGGAAAATGAGCACTGTACATGCGCTTAAAAAAATTTTTACCTGATATTTCATGTTAACTACTAATAAACTAGAAAAGTTATATATGA